TTGATATGCAATGCCAAAGTGAGAGGAATATGAGAGACCACGAGAAGCACGAACATGTATAAAAGTGACATACATTTCAATAAGAGATTGTGAACTCCCCATATGAGCATCAACCATCATAGAAACATCATCATCGTTGGAAAGCTGAAATGATGTATACGTGAATAGAAAAAGTTCAGTAGGAAGTCTATACTAAAGTGAAGATAGTCTTCTCCGGCCAACTACACGAATCTTTAACGAAATTTTTGTGATTAACTCCTCAAGAGTGATATTTCTCTTCAAGGTTAAGGGGATATAATGATCTTACTCAAAAACAACCCCCTCTTCAGCTTCCTTAATTTCTCCATCATATAAAACAACAGCAGAAAGATGACTCATTTTCAGAGAATAGAGGATTTAGATTTTTGAGAAATTTAGAGTTTGAGAATTTGAAAACTTGTGAACTGAAGTTTGTTTTGAAAGTACATAATATGTTACATATAATAATGTCTATAACCGGGGTACTATTCACGTAAAGGCACGTTCCTAGGGGCGCGCCTTCGATTATTTTGTCAGATAATATGTTATCATTGCTCTATTATGTCATTCATATCCCTCGGGGGTACGCGTTCCTAGGGGGGCGCCTTCCATTATTTTGTCAGAGAATATGTTATCGTTACCCTATTATGTCACTCATGTCCCTCGGGGGCACTATTCATGTTAGTACCCAAAGTGGTGAAAGAGCATTCCCGGAGGGGCGCCTTCGATTATTTTGTCAGAGAATATGTTATCATTGCCCTATTATGTCACTCATGTCCCCCGGAGAACTATTCATGTCAATACCTATTATTTCTGATGGGACTTGGCAAAGTGGTGAAAGCGCGTTCCTGGGGGCGCGCCTTCCATTATTTTGTCAGAGAATATGTTATCATTGCCCTATTATGCCACTCACGTCCCTCGGAGAACTATTTATGTTAATACCTATTATTTCTGATGGGACTTGGCAAAGTGGTGAAAGAGCGTTCCTGGGGGCGCGTCTTCCATTATTTTGTCAGAGAATATGTTATCATTGCCCTATTATGTCACTCATGTCCCCCGAAGAACTATTCATGTCAGTACTTATTATTTCTTATGGGACTTGGCAAAGTGGTGAAAGCGCGTTCCTGGGGGCGCGCCTTCCATTATTTTGTCAAAGAATATGTTATCATTGCCCTATTATGTCACTCATGTCCCCCGGAGAACTATTCATGTCAGTACCTATTATTTCTGATGGGACTTGGCAAAGTGGTGAAAGGGCGTTCCTGGGGGCGCATCTTCTATTATTTTGTCAGAGAATATGTTATCATTGCCCTATTATGTCACTCATGTCCCCCGGAGAACTATTAATGTCAGTACCTATTATTTCTGAGGGGACTTAGCAAAGTGGTGAAAGCGCGTTCCCGGGGGTACGCCTTCCATTATTTTGTCAGAGAATATATTATCATTGCCTCACTCATGTGAAATTGGATGTTCATAACTTAAATTAAAATGTTATGTGAAGTTTGAATAAATTGGATAAAATGTTATAAATAAATTGAATAAATGTGAAGTGATCAGTTGGTTGTTTAAATATATTGGATAAAATGTTATGGATAAATTGAATAAATGTGAAGTGATAAGTTGGTTGAGACATTGAAATTGTATGGAATGAGCATGGACATGTTTTTACGAATAAATATGAAGTGATAAGTTGGTTTTAATGTATATGTTTTAATGTATATGTTAAGGATAAAATCATACGTATGGATAAATTTAATTTCAATTTAAGTACTGTGAACTATAATTGGAATATAACCTTTAATTTTGAATACAATTGGAATATTAAGTTGAATTTAATGTTAAATTTCGAATACCATAATTTGTATTTTAATTTTAAATTTCGAATACTATAATTTGTATATTAAAAACATTTAATGTTAAATTTGAATAAAAATAACATTAAAAATATTGTTCTAACAACCATGAAACATTTAAATAACATAACCAAATTACATAAATTTATGAAATATAACTATTTAAATAACATTAAAATACAACTGGATCACCGATGTTGCCTTTTCGAATGAGTTCCACATGGCGGTGGTTGTCTATTTCGCTGAGGATTTCTTCGTGGAACTTTTTCTTCAGTCTCCTCATCTTCACTATTATCACCATCGGCATTTTCTTCGGCTGGTGTTGTAGATGACGCTGAAGGGCCTGTATAAAATAATGACCCTGGATGAGTGCTACTAACAATCCCACCGCTCATAGAAAATTGAGAAAAGTGTGAAAACATTGGTATCGATGTCTGTGATCCAGATGGAGATTGAGGTGTCTGTGGAGAAGGACCACCAGTCAAATAAGATGCATATGAACCATATGTTGGATCATTAAATATAGTCGTATATGCATCTCCATATGGTCTCATAAAACCCTGCGGGCTAGGAATATAACCCTGAAGGCTAGGAATGTAACCCTGCGGAGATGACATATAAACTGGTGGGCTTGGCATATACCCTTGAGGAGATGGCATCTGAACTGGAGGGTTGGGCATCATCATCGGTGGATAGGGATGTTGTGGTGGGACTGATACAGAACCGGTAGCACCTTCTCTCCGTCCACAAGTCAGAGGACGATGATATTGAGACGGTGGACGTCTCTCTCGGCGTCTAGGAATGTTAACCCCTCGTGCTTCAGCCGAAAGTATAAATGACTTTCCATTTTCATTAAACCAGTCCATATAGTTATCCGTAACCACATGATCAGTTTCAGCGTAAAATTGTCGATGGGCCAACTGTGCATACCGGTTCTCCCAAAGCGCAATCCAATCTCTGTGTCTCACCACCCAGTTAATCTCTTTCTTGCCTCGCCTATCTATGTTATGCATGTTGTCTAAATTCCTAGGTGCTCCAGGAATATATTGCGTACAACCAAACTGACGGAGCATGCGATCAACTGGATGTCACTCAATAATAGCATAACATATAAGAGGTACAATTGACATCCAAACTTCTAATGACCCACTCAGGTGGGGTGAGATGCAAGCCTTTACTTCATCGCTCGCATAAGGTATCCACTGAAACTGAAATATAACTATACAATTCAAATAAATATAATATTCTAATTATATCTAACATTTTAAATTAAAATATTCATATTTAAATAGATTTCAAAACATACCTCAGACCCAGCTTTTGTATCAATAAGTACACGGATTTCCTCTAGTCCATTAGGTATATCTCTATGGTTCTTTCTTTTCATAGACCACCTATGAAATATAATATAAACTTAATATCACCCTATTTAATTAAAAATATTTAAATCAAAATTTAGTTAAAAAATTACCTCAATAATAAGGGGAATACGTATGGTTCATTGACGATCGGGCATAAGAAAGACATGCGGAACCACGCCCATGATTGCAGAAGCAAGAGACATCCACCGATAGCAGTTTTCTTATAATTTGTCGCACGACACATTTCTCTAAAGAGAAATGCCAAAAATGCAGCGCCCCAACTATATCTTCCAGTTTCATCAAAATCAATCAGATGCCGCAACCACATACAATGCATATGGTTGCGAGATTTGTCGGGCATCAATATTCCTCCAATAATTCGTAGAATATAATCCCGAGGACATGCCTTTACTTCATCATCTGAAGCATTTTCATTTAGAACTTCAAAATTAGCTTTCAACCATGATAAAACTATTCTACCTCCATTAAACTCTGGCGGAGCAGCTCCAAGATACTCCATGCACATTGACTGTCAATCACCATCTACCATACCACACATAATATTCCCATCGACGAGAAGCCACAGATGCATAGAGACATCCTACAATGTAATTATAGCCTCTCCACATGGAAGATGAAATGTGTGTGTCTCGGGCCTCTATCTCTCAATCAATGTAGAAATTAGGACAGGTTCGAGTTTGCAACCGCCAATAATTGTTGCAATATACCCGAACCCAACATAAGACAAATATAGCAAAATATGTTGTGGTGTCGGTATACGTGGGTTTTTAATAAAAGTCTTTAAAATACGATCAGTTTCCTAAATAATATGCATTATAAAAATTATAATTAATATAAATTTATTATAAATTTAAATTAAAAATAATAATAAATATTAACATTAATTATAAAAAATATTATCATATCACTAAAATGTCTGGAGATATGGTTTGCATCCAATTGCAACAGCATTTTACTTTCCATTATAACTGTAGATAAAAAAATATAATTAACACAAAAAATAATTAATTAATAAATTTAAATAAATAATAATTATATAAATATTATTTTAATAAAAAATAATATTTATATAATTATATTACTATAAAATATAAAAACTATTTAAAAAAATACTAACTTAAAAATTAATTTCTTACCACTAATAAGAAATTTAAAACTCAAATAGTTTCAGAATTTGAGTTATATAAGAGATGAGAAGATAATTTTGGTGTGAAGAATGAGGAGGTTGAGGGGGTTTATATAGGGGAAGAGGAGGGGTAGTTGGGGGAAAAATGGATGGGCATTTATGGCATTTAATGGATGGCGTGTCCCTGGGATGCGTCTTTCACACGTGGCATCCCAGTCAGCATAAACCAAGTAAAACGCGTCCCCGAAGATGCGCTTTTGTGTCACCTCAATTAAAAATGTGCTACTTCAAAAAATATTAATCAAAGGGTGTTAGAGAGAGAATATTACGACGAAAATATGTAAGTTTTATCAAATCACAGAATAAATGACCATCAAATTAATATTCATCACATCAAATCAAGGTATCGGACATTATTGGAAGAAGATAGATTGGCGTTCCAGAAGAACACGAGAAAAAGCTAGATGAGATACAGTGGAAGTGAATTTTGATTCATCTTTCCGAAAACATGCACTTATTTTACAACATACTCTTAACGCTGCTAAAAATCTAAGTAAACGTCGGCAGAAAAATTTAAAATTTTAAGTAATATGCACTAGTTTTACAGGCACTCTGTTGTTTAGTTTCAAAGGAAGCTCAAAAGGTTTTCAATGCTTGAGCAGTGCTACCCTTTGTTTCCTTCAGCTCTTCCTCTCTCTTTCTCTTGGGTAGATATAGTGACGACATCGCTTTGGCCGACAAAACCTTCTTTACAAGTAATTTCCACTTTGCATCGTCGCCCAGTTTCTGCTGTTGTGCTTTCAATTTGAATTGCCTGCCAAATTTACAAAAGCAAACAGTCTTAGCTCGTTCCTTCATGATTAAATTGAAAGGGAAGAATAAAGGGGACCCAATTAGCGAAGAAAATGACAAAGATGGGACCTTTTAAGACATGTTGGTGTTTTATTAAAAAAAACAAAGAAGCAAACATGCATTTCCAGTTGCAAGAATTGACCAGTGTGGTGTGGGAAAAATTGGGCTTTAGAAAAAGCCAAAATCTTGGGAATAAAAGTGTGGTCTCCAAGTTTACCTGCAGAGCGGAACCCTGCAAGAATCAGGGTGATCACAGATGGAGGAATGGAGTCGAAGGAGCTGCCACATCCGGTTGCAGCGAGAGCATCGGAAGCCATTAGCCCTTCTCTTACACAGAGCAAAATGCTTTATCAACATCTGCACACTTTCACACGTCGCGTATTTATCGCACGGCCTCGGTTTCTTGGCGGGCTCGATGTTGTACGGCCCCACCGTCGTGCACCCTTCTCTGCAAATGTGCTCCAAACACTCGATTCCGTCGCTTAGTTGTAAATATGAGCTCTGTTCTTTCTTGTGCCGCCTCGTTCTCTTTTTCCTCTGCCAATACAATTTTCACCGTAATCAATAACTAATATCACAAATTAGCTTGATCGAAATTGGAGTACTTTTTTTTACCGATTCGGCTTCGTGGATGAATTTGAGAATCTCGAGTTCGAGCCAGGGATCATGATCCTGCATGAATTTCCAACCTTCGGTTTGCTCGACGCTCTTGAAACGAGCGGTCACCTGCTTCAAGCACTTGAGGTAGAGGTCGGGTGCGTCGCATAGACGGGTGAGTTGAAGCACGTCCACCACATTCTCCACCGTCAACCGCTCGCTCACTCCCCTAGTGCACCGCTGCTTCAGTTGTGGCACCAAATAGACGTGTGATAATACTAGCAGGTGAATTCCGTATTTCTCCATTTGCTCTTCCGTGCACCTATCGTAGCATGAGGAACATTTCCGTCAATTCAACTTCGTCGTAAAACAAGAATAAAATCTAAACTTTAATCGACAATGGCTCCTCTAATCAAGTAAAGTACTAACGTGGAGTTATAGAGGTATTCAACAAAAGCAGAAACGGCGTCGCATGGAACGCCGAGAATCGGGATGACTCTCTCAGATCTCCGATGTTTCACTGGACTTTGGATAATATTTTCCAGCACCGGCGACACCGTTGCCTGATTTAAGAAAAAGAAAATCAGATCAGAAACGAAAAAGTAAACGAAAATGCAGTAAAAGAGAAGGGGGGGTATTTAGAATCATTACCAATATGGTGGAGTGAGCAGGGATAAGGAGGCCGCCGGAAGTAAGGATCTGGACATCGGGTTCGGAGGCGGCGGTTGAGTTATGATTATTGTCTTCCATTAATAGAGAGGAAAAAAAGGAGAAGATTATGTTTGTTGTAGCCGTGCAATGTCCGAAGAGGCCGGCTGTCTTGAACTTTATAGACAGCATAAAATGAAACATACAATGCTAAAAAGCGAAGCAATGAAGAATCTGACGTGTCATGTCATGTTTGGGCATTACTGCTCCACGCGCTTTCCTTCTCTTCGTTGTTGAAGGAACTACCTAAATTGGAATCCCTTAATTACACTATTTATCTTAAGGTTTGTCGGTCGGATTTTTAAAAACTGCGCGTGGGGTAAATACTTCACTCAACTAAATTACATTTTCTCACGATTAAATAAATATCTCATACGAACTGGACGACCTTTCCTAGCTGACATGGAAAGTAACAATTAACAAACGACGAGAGACACTTTCAAAAGCCGATTTTGTAAATAAACGGCTTTTGGTGAGGTGAAGAGCTCCGGTTCAGCATGACATGCCACTTGTCCTCATCCATTCAGCCATTAAAAAAAGGGTTAATTATTTCAAATATCACCAACCTTTGAATGATAACTCGTTTATATCATCAACATTTTAATTTTATCAATTTTAACATTAACGATTTAAGTGTAATTTTGTCAATTTTATTTACTTTTAAGTGTAATTATGTCATTCTGCCGTTAATGATGTAACGATATGATGATATGATAACACTATTTTGATACTTAAAAAAATAAAAACGATGTCGTTTTATTTTTTAAAAAACTTCCCATTAGATTCAAACAACATACCTTTGGAAACTAATTCTAAGCACCCAACCACTAAATTAATTTAAAAACTTATTATATTTTTAACAAAATTAATATATATTTTAAACAGTTGATATTTCCCTCGGTGTCTTCCCACTTTTCGTAAACGCCCTTCGGGTGGGCCCGAAATTGAGCTTCGACTTAAATAAATGTGTTAGATTCGCCACCGATCATTAGGTTGACCGGACACCTTAGATTATCATCTTACATGATTTGCGTTTTACCAGAAATAAATTAGATTCGGGAGTTGATTACAGTCAATGAAAGATTAACACCCTTGTACTGCCCTTTCGGTACCAATTTAATTTCTGGGTTGTCTTAGTTGTGAAAGTTAAAAGTTAATTAAAATTTAAAATTCGATACAAATTACTTACCTTTGATAAATTAAAATTCTCCTAAAAAAAGTCAAAAAAATGTTAGATCGTAAAATAAAATAAATAAATGTTAAATAAATCAAAGAGAAAAAATTAAAAAAGGTTAAATTAAGAAATAAAAATAAAGTTAAGATAAAAAGAAAGAGTAATAAAGTAAACTAATATTAAAAGAGAAATAAATAAAAAATGAAGAAAATTTTAAATTTTAAAATAAATTTAAAATAAATAAAAAATGAAGAAAATATTAATTTTTAAAATAAATAAAAATAAAATAAAAAGAGAAAGAAATGTTAAATTTTAGAATAAATAAACATAATAATAAAATTTAAAAATGAAGAAAGTGTTAAAGGATCAAATTGGAACAAATTAAAATTTATGGATCAAATGGATGCTAAAAATGAGCTGCAAGAGAAAAACAAAATGTAAGGGGACTAAATTGAGAAATATAAGAAATTTAAACAGGGATTAAATTGAATAAATTCAAAATTCAAGGGTTAATTCACAACAGGTGATCAAAATGATTTACGCGTAAAAATACAGAGACTACAAAAATAATTTAAGAATTTCATAACTACACTAAGGGCCTCTCTATAAATAGCTCTTAAAACTAAAAAAAATCATTTTTAACCCAACTCCAAAAAAAACACTCTCCTCTTCAAAAAACCTATTAGCCCAAGCCAACCGGCTGAATGACCGGCCACCACTCATAGCCACGCACCGCCGCCCGGCCAGCGAAGGTCGAAAAAAAAATAAACTCACATTCCGGTCTCCTCTTGAACCCGTAGACCCGAATCCACCCCCAAAAATTAAAAAAAAATGCCTAGATCGGAGTAGATCTAGATCCCAAGGTTTCAACTTTTACCTTGGTTCCCGATGAGATCCTTCATTCTTCGGTGATCCTCGGCCTCCCGACGTAGACTTTATGCTTTCCCGGTAGCTTTCGACGAAGACTTTGATTTTTTTCTGTATTCGAATGGTTTCTTTGTCTGGTTTGCTTGGTATTTTGCTGTTTGGTTTGCTTGATCTTCTCTTGGTGATTTGTTGCCCTTGTGTTGCTCCACCAGTGGCCTTTTATAGCCTATGGAAACGAGTTGCAATCCCGATTTTGTCGGGATTTAGGTGTGGCTGATTCTCTCGGCATGTTGTTCATGGTTGTTTGTTGGTTGGCCGAAAATCCCGGGATAATGCAGTCCCGAGTTGATCGGCCGTAAATCTCGGTCGGTTTTACTGTTGTGGTCAGCATCGCTCCTTGCTTGGCTATTGATCTCCCTTGGCTAAGCATGAAACCCTAACATATGGATATGGGTAGGGATAAGCACTCAACCCGATCGGGTCGGATTTGTTTTAAAAAAATCGGGTTCGAGTCAGGTTTTTTAAGTGTGATATTCAGGTCGAGTTTGGGTTTAGGTTGAAAATACCCGACCCGACCCGAAAAAATATATAATTTTACCTTATATATTTAGAAATAATTACAATAATACCCCTCTATATATAATTTTTTTCAATTAAGTCACTTTTTTATTGAATAAAAATATTTTTTTATTATTTCGGGTTGGGTCGAGTCGGATTTCTAAGTCATATATTTGGGTCGGGTCGGGTGAAACCTTATTTTGGTCGGGTCGGGTATAGGGTGGAGGCTCCCTTGTTCTCGGGTCGGGTGGACCAAAAACCCGACCCAACCCGACTCATGCCCATCCCTAGATATGGACTGGGTCAGGCGCCTAACCAAACCTGCTTTGTTGGGTCAGGCGCCTAACCAGACCTGCTTTGTTGGGTCAGGCTGGCATGGCTCGGTTGGGCTCTATGAAAGACCCGAATTTGGACCTGGAGCAAAAAAATAATAAATAAATATATAATATAAATAATAATAAATAATAAATATATATATATATACAAATAATAATAATACTAAATAGTATTAATATAATATATAATATAATAAGTAATATTAATATATATAAAATAAATAATATTAATATAATATATAATAAAAACTATATAATAATATGTTTTCAAAAATTATATATTATATATGTTTCCAAAAGATCGTTTTTGAAAACTATATATATGTTTTCAAAATATGTTTTCAAAAACATATTATATATGTTTTCAAAAATCGTTTTAAAACTATATAATATATATTTTCAAAATCATATTATATATTTTTAAAAACCGATTTTTAAAAACTATATGTTATATACTTTCAAAAAACGTCTTCTAAACTATATATTATATGTTTTAAAAAATTATATTATTATATATATACTAAATAATCTCCGGACGAAAATGAGTGACTACACCACTATTTCCTCTTATATAAATGGTTTTTTTTTCAGTCGGTCTTGTTGTTCGTCACCATTGCCTCCTTCGCCAACAACGCTCAGTCGAGGAATGCGGTGTTGAAAAAAGCTATCGCTTGCCAACCTTTCTAAAAGAGTTTGTCGGGGTGTTTAAGGATACACATGTCCGATGAGTTTATACGGACATTGAGGGAATAAGGGAGAATGAAAAAGGAAACATAAAAAGAGAACGACAGGAGTAATAATAATAGATTATGCATCAATAGGGATTCAAATAGCGAAACACAAATGCTATAGCGACCGCTATTTCACGGTAGCGTAGCAGATTCACATCGATAGCGGTCCATCTAGTCCGTAATCTAACGGATAAAGGTGGATAGCGTCGATAACATGACACTATTAACGCTATTCCACCATTACTACCAAAAAATTAAGCCTAAATTCACTCCCAAAAAAATCAAGAAAGAGAGCATATCAATTATCAAGAGTTCAAAATCAAGACTCGCCAAAGAGGCAAAGATTAAAACGGATAGGAGACAAACCAACAAAACAAAGTTATTTTGGAGGAAAATCTTGAGTCTGTTATGCTTTGCCGCCGGTGAAGAAGAGGAGAAATAGAACGAGCTTCCATCGAAGGTAGAAAATTAAGAGCCTTAAATATTTGGGAGTCGATAGTTGAGAGAATTGGGATGAGATTTGAGAGAGTTGAGAGTGTTAGGAGTTGAGAGAATAAAAGAAGAAAGGTTATGGAGTTTTCCTCAACTCCAAGAGCCTTAATGTTTTTTTTGCCCGTCTCGCTCTCACCCTCCTATTTTCCTTTTTAATTTTTTTTAAATCAATTCTAAAATTAAATGGTATGTTTATTTGCCATCACTCCCTCCAATCTTCTAAAATCTATAATTTAATCCTATGTTTTAGAATTTATAATTTATCTTTAATTTAGAATGTAAACTTTAGTTTTTATTTAATTTAGCCCTAATTTCAGTAATATAAATTTTTGTAATTTCAATTTTATACTTTTATTTTAATTCTATTTGATTTAGTAATATTATCCTATCACTGAGGTTTTAAAATTTTATATTTGATTAAACTATATAATATATATGTCATTTTTGCTTAGAAAATATTATAAAATTATTAAAAATGAGACTTTATAATTATAATTATTATGTTTTAAGATAAATTGTACGAAATTTAAAAAAATTCACGATCGTAACACCCACAGTTATCACGATGACATCTATTATGTCCACAATTGCTATAAACGCGACGAGGCCGCAAACTCTATTTAAATCCCTGTGCAGCAAAATGCATTTGTAAAAACAGTACGCGCAACTGGTGGGTTCGACGCACCAACTAGAAACCGAAGCCGGAGACGATAAAGGAGACAAATAAGAAGAAGAGGAGGATTCTGTCATCTTTCGGAATGAAAATTAAGAAGAAGGAATCAAAGAATTTGCAGACGAAGAACAACAACGTAAAAGGTGTTCATCCTATAGATATGGTGTAATTAGTAGTGCCAACATTCCTCCATCTAAACCAAAGATTAAGATCATTAAACCATCAAGAAAA